GAAAGGAGGGGGGAGAGTGGGGATAAGGGGAGGAGGAGAGAAGGCTTGCTCTTGATTCTAGCCGCTGCAAGCAGTGAGGTCAGTCCTCCGATATCCTGACCCGCTCCCCTCTCGCCCCAGGCCGTCCCACCCCCTCCTGGACCAGCGGTCGCCCTCCCTCTCAGCGTGCGGCACGGTGGGCGAGTGGCTGCGGGCGATCAAGATGGGTCGGTACGAGGACAGCTTCGTCCAGGCCGGCTTCACCTCCTTCGAGCTGGTGGCTCAGATCTCCACTGAGTGAGTGACCGTTCGTCTGCTCCGTCTGTCTCTCTCTGACTGACTGACTGACCTCTCCATCTGTCTTCCTTTCACTGACCACTCCCATCTGTCCATCTCTCTCTCTGGCTGCTTTGTCCATCCGTCTCTTTGACCTCTCCATCTGTCCTTCTCTCACTGACTACTGCATCAATCTCTCTCACGGACTACTGCATCAATCTCTCTCACTGACCACTCTGTCCATGCCTCTCTCTCTCACTGACCACTCTGTCCATTCGTCCATCTCTCTCTCTCTCTGACTGACCACTCTGGCCATCCCTTGCTCTCTGACTGACCACTCTGTCCATTTGTCCCTCTCTCTCTCTGACTGACCGCTCTGTGTCTAAACTCTGCTCCTTGGTCCCTCCCTCAGGGATCTGCTCCGTGTCGGGGTGACCCTGGCTGGACACCAGAAGAAGATTCTCTCCAGCATCCAGAGCCTGAGAATGCAGGGGAAGGGCCCCCAGCCGCCCCGCTTCTGACCCCCCCAGCTCCGCGCCCCCCGGGGCAGGGGGGAGCGCCGCAGGGGACGCACACGTCCACGCGGGGGCCAGGGGGCTCAAACACTCCTCAGAGAGATCCCCGCGTGGCGGGGGGGTTTCATTCGCTGTATTTTATCGGTTTTAGACGACATGGTGCTGTAATCTCGGGGGCGCAGCTGTCCAGCTGCAGCAGCGTTGTGACAAAGCGCACAGACTTGTCCTTTAAACTGGGCTGCGTTCAGGAAGGCGCGAACTTCGGAAGGACACGCCTTTCGGCCTGTGGGACTCCCAGTAGGCCACCGGGTTTCCAGGCAGCCCCCATGAGCAACAAACCACAGCAGGCAATACGCTCAATCTCTCGCCCCCTCCGGGACTGTGAGGAGCAAGGGGCGTTGGGGAGCGCTCTGCTGATCAGACTCTCACCGCAGGCAAGAGTGCACCCTCAGCCAATCACAGCGCAGGGAGGGGACCCGCGCTGCTTTCACACGAGCTGATTGGTGCAGAGACCTGTCATTGAGACACTGGAGTTTTTGACTTGGTGGATTGACAGTTCACCTGTGGCCCACTTTGACACCGATTTGAGATGGGGGCCTGTGGGAGGACTGGAATGGATGTATTTGAAAGGGGGAGAAATAAATCTGGTTGTTTTTGCTCGTGGACTGTGACGAAGCCGTAATCTGTGGCTGTGGGACTTGTTCTTGAACGACAGCTGACCGTCAGCACACTGAGAGTTAAACCATGGGAGTTAAACCAGATCTTCATATTGAAGGTCTTATAAAATCATTTTTTACTGGATTTTCTACATCTGAATATATAAAAATAATAACATGTTGGGACTGGGAACGTGCATTTATCCCAGCGATGTATCTCAGTGTTTAATCAGAATAAACATTTTGAGCACTGTTTTATGACACCCTGTCATTGTGATTGATTGGTGATCAGTTGTTTATTGATTAGTCAGGATTTGCTTTTTGTTGCAGTCTCAACACAGCACCCACTCCATCCTGAACACAGCCCCAGCACAGTACCCACTCCACCCTGAACACAGCCGTAGCACAGTACCCACTCCACCCTGAACACAGCCGTAGCACAGTTCCCACTCCACCCTGCACACAGCCCCGGCACTGAACACAGCCCCAGCACAGTACCCACTCCACCCTGAGCGCAGCCCCAGCACCGCTCCCCCTCCCACCATTCCCTGTCCTCTTACACGCACTCCCAGAAACTCTGCAGGGAGGAGGGAGAAAGGAGAAAGGGGAGGTCACACTATCGGCTTCCCCTCAGACATTCCTGCCTCTCCCGTCTCAAGACAGAGGACAGAAGCTCCATTGAGACGCTCCGGCATCCTCCCCACCCTCTGCCCCCTCTGGCCCCATCCCTCTACGCCTCAGTTCTGCCAACAGAAGCCCCTCTATCTGCCTCCCCCCCCCCGGCCCCAGAGATGGGCTCCCCTCTGTCCGTCCTGCCCCCCCCACCGGGGCACCACAAGTGCTCGCTGAGTACAGTACTGAGCCTGCGGTATGCTCTTCCCTGGAGAGAGGGAGAGGGACAGAGTGGACAGAGGACAGGCGGTGTGGTCAGTGTGTGGGGGGCAGTGCGGAGAGAGGGACAGAGGACAGGCGGTGTGGTCAGTGTGTGGAGGGCAGTGTGGAGAGAGGGACAGAGGACAGAGCTGTGTGATCAGCGTGTAGAGGGCAGTGCTGAGAGAGACAGTGGACACAGACAGAGGACAGAGCTGTGTGATCAGCGTGTAGAGGGCAGTGCTGAGAGAGACAGTGGACACAGAGGACAAAGCTGAGTGGTCTGTATGTGAAGGGCCCTCTTTCTAACTGAAAGAGATGAGTATGTGAACAAATCAGCCCAACTTCACTGAGATGCATGTGCGCAGTTTTTTATGATGATTGATCCCTATCCGGATAGTTACAGTGTAGTTTAAATAGTAGCAAAATTTGCCAAAAACAAAATGCAGTAAAACTAGACTTGACCTCCAACTGTTCTTGCTCGTCTTGTTTCGGTGTGTGGTACTTGATCAATGAGGTGAATTCAGCACAGGCGGACCTCACAGGTGGTGTCATGCAGTTCCTGACCCAGAGAATTCCAGTAAGCACTGAGCCTGGAGGGTTCTGGGGGAACTCGAGCAGCTGAGCCCTCAGAGTTGATCAGGGTGCAGGTTGAGCCCCTTAAAGTCCAGGCAAGTGCTGGTTCTGGTCCAGTCTCAGTCATCAGCCCCAGGATGACTGGGACAGCCCGGGGGAGTGGGTGGGCAGTGGAGAGGGTGCTCTGACACACCTGTGTCCTGGAGTTGACCTGGCAGGTGTGGGTGACACGGTGCTGACCTGGAGTCCCATAAAAGCTAAGAAAATCAGGCTGAGACTGTGGAATTGAGCAGAAATACTCCGGTAATTCCCACAGTCACGGTCCACGTGCACAGGGGTTGCACATCTGGCCAGAGGTCATGTATCTGTCACTCTTGACCTCCTGTTCAGAAGGGTCACTGACTTGGTGACCTTTGACCCCTTCACTCTTCCCCAGAGACCTGTACTGTAGATTAGCAGAGTCAGGTGGTTTTATCCTCTGCCCCATGCGACCCCGTTTCTGCCCCTCTCTCTGTCTCTCTTTCTGTTTATTATATACAATGTATGTTTGTTTACCTCTATAAACATATAGGGAAACATTTACAGACGCCACATGTGAGATTATTTGAGATGCACAGTTGTTATTCCTCAGGGTGGGACAGGAGATCACACACTGGGCACCAGCTCTGTTGAGGACTGGAAGCTGTTCTGGTTTGGGAAAGTAAGGGAATTCTGGGATTAGATTT